GGGCCGACTCGATGGCACATAACAACAACAACAACAATGTCTCTTAAATTTATCCTTTCCTTATCACTCTATTGACAATGCTCTAGTCCTTTCCTTTTATCCCATGTCCCCTCTAACTCCTTTCAATCCATCAGGTACTTGAAATCAAGTGACTGATTGGTCTTGAATGATTTCAGGCAAAATTATTTTTGCATTTTAACTGTTAGAGTCCCAGAAAAATATCTGGTCTGATCTTATGCCATAAAGTTTATAAAATGGAAGCAAAGGCACTCTTCTAGAAAGGGATAACTTACCCTTAAGCTAAACATTACTATCATCTTCCTATGAGGTAATTATTGCCTTTGTAATTCATGAAGAAATCCTTACAAATGGTGTGTCAACTCATTCTCTTCTAGGGACCTCCAGGCATTGAGGGAGAATCTGGTCTACAAGGCGAGCCAGGTGCAAAGGTAACCTTTGTTTAAAAAAAATAAATAAAAAAAAGGAGGGTCTCCTAATATTCACCTTTGAGTCTCCTATATTTGCCACTTTTTGGCAAACATCCACCAAGACACCTTGGAAACAGCAGAAAGACAACAGAGAAAAACAAGAAGTGTTTTCAAGCCCCTATTCCTCAGAAAGTTTTAATAAAAAGGAGATTTGCTTTGTTTCTTCAGGGAGATGTTGGTGCTACAGGCAGTGTTGGAAGCACTGGAGAGCCAGGGTTACGGGTAAGTGTGCACTGGGAACCCATATAACGCACTGAGTGGCCTACTTCAGAGACTCAAAAGTTGTCAGTCTAAACACTTCAAAAAATTGCATATAAATCTTTCTGCTGCATTATAGAAAATGTCAGCCTTTATTTCATGTTTTTGAAAGCCATATGCCAAAAGCTGTTCACAATTTATATGAGTAGCATTTGGACTCCTAAGTTCATATATCATTCTCTGAAAATCAGTTATACTCTGCAGAACCCTTGCCAATTATGTGGAATCACTGTGATTGTCAGTAATGTCAGCATTAAAAGAAATTCATACACACCAGAGGTCAATGCTCAAGTTGTTTATATATATATAAATAGATCAAGTTGGTTTCCTGAACCAACAAGAAAGACAAAAGATTGAAATCTATTTATGTTAAAACAAATAAACAAACTAGAGTAATATAAAATTAATGAAATTCAATGTAATAATTGTAAATAGTTATAGTTTGATAGCTTAGAAAAGTAGTATTAATACCAAACCAAAACCCAAACTCATTGCCATTGAGTTGATTCTGACTCATAGTAGCCCTCTAAGGCTGTAAATCTTTACAGAAGCAGACTGCCTCATTTTTCTCCCATGGAATAGCTAGTGGGTTCAAACCATCAACCTTTCAGTTAGCAGCCAAATGCTTTAACCACTGTACCACAGGAGCTTCTTAGTACTAATGCAGACAAGCTTAATTTGAACTGTGGTAAGGAATTTTCTCCCAAGATTAACAGTGTGCAGAATAATTATAAGGGATATTGGTTTCTTAAAAAGCAAAATAGAAAGTTATATGTCATATGTTCTTTCTTTTTCATTTTCCTTTTTTCATGAGAGTGGGAATAATTGGGAATATCAGCAGTAGGAGAGATGGGGCAACTATGAAAAAGTACTGATTAAATTCTCTTTAAATAGTTCAGGTAACAAGAGAACCAAACAACTTTAATAGCTTCATAATATATGGCTCTACATTTCCTCAAGCTCTATATCTAGAAAGCATACAACTTCTTGATATATCAGGACCTTATTCTTTACTTCTCCTCTTTGTAAGAGAGAGAAAACAGAAACACTAAAAACCTGGTAGAGTAATTATAATTAAATGTATTAATTCATGTAAATCTCAGTATAGTAAGGTGCTAAAATTTTATGGGATATAGTATTTCTATTTCTTGTACTCAGAAACACAGATCTAGCTGTAAAAATTTCCAAACCTAACAAATGAATTTTATATTAACTTTAATTCTCTAAATTGTATTGTCATTCTGAGACAATCCTATATTTGAATTGATGACACTCTTACTCCCTAAATCATCTACAGAGCTATTCAAGATGAAGTCATGCATATTATACTGTCAAATTCCCCCTTGGAAATAAAGTAGAGGTAGGAATAAGTAGACACCAATCTGTTGCTTTCTCTGATGCCAGAAGTTAAAAATAAATTACTTTCCAAATTGAGATAAATTATTTGGCAAAAAAAAAAAAAAAAAAAAATTGATCTTATTATTTCTGCTACAAAATAGGGTGAACCAGGAGTTCCTGGAGAAGAAGGTCTCCAGGGAAAAGATGGATTAAAGGTAAATTATGCTATTAACATTATATATAAAATAGATGTTTTGTGTGAAATCTTTAAAAATAATTTTAGACAAAAAAAAAGAAGA